CAGGGAAAGAAGGGCATGACGACCGGCTGCGGTTAATCTTACTGGGCCGGAAGCGCCGCCCTCGGTAGGTCTGCTTGTTGAGGCCTCAATTCTTTCCTCCTCCTCTCCGGGTATCGTTGAAGAAGTCGTCCTCCCACGGCGAACTCGCCTATGACGAGGAGGCGGACCGGAGTGACGAGGATGCGATCTTGAGATGCCGGCTGGCTCTACAAGCAGCCAAGAATCCGCCAGTGACTGGGACCGAGCGGTCCGTCTCGAATTGCTGTCTAAATCATGACCGCTGGAGGAAGAGGACCGGTAATTTTGGATAAGGCGTAGGAGTTGGGCATCTTCACTAGTTAGTCCACTGCTTTCTAATTCTGCGATTAAACGGTTCAGCGCCATGACTGAAGCCTCATTCTGGCGCACTACGTCTGGTTGCCCAGAACGGCGACGGTCAGAGGAGCTTCGTGGGTGTCGTGCTGCAGACTCGCTTGAGTTTGGCACGTGAGAAAGACTCCGGGTACGTGGATCGGATGTGTGAGCATGGCTCCCGGGTTCTGAATTATGGGCTGGTGTAAGACCGGTGGGTTCTTGGCGAGAAGAGAAGCTAAGTCGAGAGCCCATAATTCCACAGGGATAATTGGCTTAGTGGGGAACGGTGAAATCTGTTGCACTTATCAAAAATGTGTAACTTGATAAGCAAAAATAGTATCATTCCTTCCGTTTGATTCGCGTTTCAGTCGTTGCCACCATTTTGACATCTATAAATACAAGAGAAATACAAGTTACGAAGACGCCATGCTAATTTTTTAAAGCTCAAAATACGTTATAAATGGTAAAAGAAATTTTGGAAGGTTATCTGTGAAACTTATTTATGACTACGCAGAATCAGGTGACTGTAAACGATTCGGATGTCAGGTGTTCAAGACGCATGAAGCAAGAGTGGGAGCATTTCTGGTTAGGTTGCCGTTGTCAGTCATAAATAGCCCCAAGTCCAGTCCAGACACACAAGAAATTTGAAACCAGATCGTGATGATCATGGAACCAAACGGCTATGACCTCTACTGCTTAGTAAAATAACGCAACTCTGAGCGCCGTGACAAGTAGTGGCCTGGATCCCCTTGAAACCAAAGCACGGCAAGTTAACATCCGGTGCACAGACCGTCTTACAAAAGATTGCCTTCCATGTACGGAAGACTGAGTTGCTACACGGAATAAATAAAAATCTAGTCAAACAACTTTTGTAGAAGGGCGGACTTTAGAAACGATTCTAAGGAGTTTAAACCCACATCTTTATTGACGATATCGTATTTTACGACCGTACGAATGCATTTAGATGGTAAGTAATGCCATGGCGGACAAAAAAATACAGAAAGAAGTAGTTAAGTGATCGTCTGCCAATGCGCTACGAGTTGAATGGCAATATGGAAAGCAGAAGGGCGAAATAAGGAAATAGTCAACAGATGACACGCCGACGAATATGCAAAACAGGAATCGACGGTTATAGACAACAAACTGATTGACAACATCATATTATATAGTTTCATAGGTGCGCATACTTTTAGTTGTCCGGTTCTAGAAGGTTACGCTCTAACGGAAGTGAAAACGTTGTAAATGTGAAGCAAACAGTTAGCTCTCATGACGCACAGGGTATTCGGACGTCAAATTTAAGAATAAGAACAGGGTCGAAAAGCTTTTATAAAGAATCACAGTCCTTTTCTATTACACGGACATCCGTGGTACAAAAGGCTCGTTACGTGTATATCGTAACCTGAAGCCAACCAGGTGAAAAGATTGAAATCCAGCTAAAGGATCCAAGATGAATACTTTCGGTCTGCAGATCATATTGGCCCAACACCAATCACGATTAAGAAAACTACGCAAATATAACAGATGAATAGTAAAGGGGCCAGTAACCAGAATATTTATGGAAAATCTGCGAAAGTTCGCATTTGGAGACTTCATTCCAACTATTACGCCAAATAACCTATGCGAAAGACGAATATATTCGCCAAGTATGTTTGGCGAATAAGATTAATAGGTTGACATTGACCAAAGACAACGAATGTTCCCGAGCAATTCATTAAAGCAATTAATTTTTGCTGTAACAATAGCAAGAAATAGGCTTAAAAATACGCAAATCATCCAAAAGCCAGCAGTATCCAAACAACCATAACCACAAAGCGACTACAATCAGTTTTAATGCAGATCAAATAGAAGAGCCCGGGTAGCGTCCAAGCTCGCAAATTCAGATTACTACGCTGTCCGAGATTAAACAAGTAGTAATGCAGATCCTTTAATTGAGTCTGCCGGTTCTGTGAGAAAAATGAAATATATTGGCCTATCTAGGCATCGAATTGTTTAATAGTGCATGTTTGTCAATCAAAACCAAGAGCGTTGAAATCCCAAACCATTTGCAACGACTGGGGTCAAGAATGGTGCCCGAAGTGAGGTGGCTGACATATCCGGAGCGCT